CCCCAAAACCCCAAAACCCCAAAACCCCAAAACCCCAAAACCCCAAAACCCCGTGAATGAGAGTAAGTATTGAAATTAAAGTTATTTAATCCAGCCAGACATCAGTGTGGAATCTTGGATAATAATCAATAAATGCATCTCTCAAATGGCTAGCTTGATCTGGTCTTAGTAGTAGAGAAGGTCTGATTCCAAGCGTTTGTTGTCCTACCAATGATACCAAAACCCCATTTCTCAATAAATATTTCTGGAAGTGGCGAGCTCTATAGTAGTCCTCGAAGTCGAGGCCCAAGAAGGTACCATTTCCTCTGAGGTTTGTGTAGATGCCTTTCTTCTTGTTGATTCTGTCAAGTTCGACTTTGATGAAGCCGCTAACGTCTTCTACTTTGTCAACTAGAGATTTCTTCTTAATATATTCGGCTGTCTCAGAGAATTCAATAACATTAGAGAGTGATTCATCCCCAATTGTGGGCAGCTTGTGTGGTCCATATGGGATGTGATCTCTTGTTGTAAAGAATCCTGAGGCTGCTGAGGATCCTCCAAAGGCAACAAACTCAGGCATATCATCTAAGTGCCAATGCTCAAGGCCCCAGAACTTGGCTGTTTTTCCAAACCCAGTGCGAGTTTCGTCAACAATGAATGGAATATTGTGTTCTTTAGCAATATCTCTCAATTTCCTGTAGAAGGTTGGAGTAGCCATGCAGTTTCCAAGGAAAGTGATTGGTTCAACAATAATTGCTCCTACTGGAGAAGATGATTCTCTTGCAGCAATAGTCTCTCTTACTTCCTTCAAGCGTCTGTTTTCTTCCTGGATATTATCCTTTTTGTTCTTTTGGTAAGGATAAGTGAGGTCTGGAGTCTGAATAACTGGCCAATCATGCTTAGCAAAAGAATTAGATCCTGGAGCTCTAGCGCTTTCAAAGCTCAGAACACTGATTCTATCTTGAAGAAGATCTACACTATCAGAGAAATCGCTTGCTGCAAATTTCTCCCAATCGATGTCTTCAAATCCTCCTCTGGATTCTCTGTAGCTGAGGATAGCTGCTTTAATAGAAGACTCAACAGCAAGTTTTCCTTTACCTTTGGTGAAATGGACTTCTCCCATTCCTTTGGGAGCATAAGGAAGTATGTTAGTTTTAATGTAGAACATGTAGTCATCAGAGTCCATTTTAGTAGGAATCTTGATACTCGAAGTTAATCTATTATATAATTTCCTCACTCTAAGATGCAAGAAAGAATTTGGGTTGTACCCAAAAGCAAGGTTTCCACCCTGCATTGCAAGATCAAGTATTTCATTTCCTTCATAATCACAGACGAAGTTTCCTCTGCTCTTTTTATAGTCGAATAAATGGCCTGCGAGCTTATCCTCAAGTGATGTCTTCATCCATTCATTGACTGGCTTCGAGTGGCTGCTTGTATAATCAGCATTAACGACGGTTGGGTTTCTGAGCGCCACTGCAAATGGAAGTCCAAGTGTTTTGCTCGAAAAATTTGTAACTTTTCTAACAAGTTGCCAGTTCTTCTGATTAAACTCTCTCCAAAACATTTTTATAATATTTTATTATAATTTCAGTAATTATTTATTAAAATGGGGTTTTGGGGTTTTGGGGTTTTGGGGTTTTGGGG